TGCCTTGGCAAGGAGGCCTGTGGTTACCTGGCCGGGCTGGAAGGGGGTTTCTGGCGGGGGTTCAGTGGGACTCGGGGGTTTGTAGGTCTCTCTGGGCAGGCAGCACTCACATGGATGCTGCCTGTTCTGTGCTCATCTGTCTTAGCCAGGGCTCCAACATGTCAGCAGCCTCCCACAACCCTGATCTCCTGCCAGCAAGCATCTTGTCTTGGCCTGGCAGGCAGGGCCATGGAATACAGCTGCTGCATTCAGGTTCAGGCCTTCAGGGCTGCCAGGCAGCTTTGAGCTCCTCTGTTCAGAGAGCCTTCAGCCTCTCTCCTCACTACAGAGCACAGGGCACCGCGGGATGCCTTGCCTCACAAGAGGTAGCCATCCCAGCCTTCCTGTATTTGTTCCTCTCTGGTACAGACCTACAAACAGCAAGGCAACACAGTGCTGAAGCTGGGAGATACGGTGATCCCGTACCAGGAGGGTTTCAAGATGTACATCACCACCAATTTGCCCAACCCTCACTACAGCCCTGAGGTTTCCACAAAGCTCACCCTCATCAACTTCACACTCTCACCCAGGTACCTGCTTACCCCATTAACTGCCTGTGCCGCTCAGCCTCATTCCTCACAGTCCTCAAGACCTCAGACCCCCACCCTCACCTCCATGGCTTTTGTTGTAGTGGCTTGGAAGACCAGCTGCTGGGACAAGTGGTGGCTGCAGAGCGGCCTGACTTAGAAGAAGCTAGAAACCATCTAACTGTTAGCAACGCTGAGATGCATCAGGAGCTGAAGAAGATAGAAGACCAGATCTTGTATCGGCTCAGCACTTCTGAAGGAAACCCTGTAGATGACTTGGAGCTCATCAAAGTGCTGGAGGCGTCCAAGCTCAAGGCAGGGGAGATCCAGGTCAGAGGTGGAGGTGCTCTCCCCCTGCAGCTGTGCATCCCCCACCAGTGCTGCACTAACCATGATGTCTCTTCTCTCCCCCAGGCCAAGGTAATGGTGGCGGAGCAGACAGAGAAGGACATCAACATGACACGCCTGCAGTATGTGCCTGTTGCCGTCCGCTCGCAGATCCTCTACTTCTGTGTCTCAGACCTGTCCAGCGTGGACCCCATGTACCAGTACTCACTCGAGTGGTTCCTCAACATCTTCCTGATGGGGATCAGTAACTCTGAGAAATCAGGTGCCTGCCTGGAACAGCCCCCTCCCATCCCCTTTCCCACCCCATGTTCGTGGCTTCATGGCAGCAGAAGCTAGGACACCTGCAGAGTCAAGGCAAACATGCCTGCTTGCATCTGCTCTCAGCATGGTCCAGAGCTGCCCCTAGTCATGCCCACACAAGGGAAGCTTTGGTTGCAGCTTGGCCACCGTTCTCTTCCCCACTGCTGCTCTGCTGCCCTGTCTGACCGGGCGGGAGGGACGTTAGTGCGGCACGCAGGCAAGGCACGCTCCATCCCAGTAATGGTGTGGCTCTGCTCATCACGGAGCTGCTTCCATGCACAGGACCTGGCTGCTGCTGCCAGGCTGGGGGCAGCTCTTCCCCAGGCAGGATGGCGGTGGCTGGGCCTGTGTCAGCTGCCGTGGTGCTGCGTGGCCTCCCTCCCGGTGCTGGGGCAGTGTTTTCTCCTGTGTGCCGAGTCTCACAGCCTTGTGCTTTCACAGGGGTTTCTGTGCCAAGTCTGCATTGGAGAGCAGCATCTGTTCTTCCTGGGCAGGGTGCGGGTGTACCCCTGTGACCAGGAGCCAACAGCTGACATGGAGAGCATCTTCTGCATCACCCACAGCACCCATCACCCTTGACAACTTGTTGCCTTTTTTTCAGACACCCTGAAGGACCGCATCGTGAACATTAACAACTACATCACCTTCAGTCTCTACAGCAATGTGTGCCGTAGCCTCTTTGAGAAGCACAAGCTCATGTTTGCCTTCTTGGTTTGTGTCCGGATTCTGATGGATGATGGGCAGATCGATATGGTGAGTAAGTCACTTTGGTCCTTCAATGGGATCCCATCAGGGCAACTCAAGCCCAGCCTGTTCAGCTCCCTAGAATAGCATGCTGTGGAGGAAAAGGAGCCTTGTTCCCTCGGGTTTGGGGCAGGCTTGGCAGGCTGGTGGGCAAACTCAGGGACTCCCTCTTCACTCAGATCTCAAATCTTTCCCTGTGTCTATATGCAGAGCTGCCTAGCCTGAATCACCTGCAGCATTTGCAAATTTGCTGCCAGACTGCCACAAAGGTTAGCAAGTTTAGAGGGAGCAGGCAGGGATTAGAAAACAGAGAAAAGCTAGTGGCAGCTGAACGGTGATGTTGATCTCATCAGACCCTCCAGGTCACTTACTCCTGAACACACACACCTGGCAGGAGAGGTTATAATCCATCACTACGTCCTGTCCTGTTCCCAGGATGAGTGGCGGTACCTGCTGTCAGGAGGGACCGTAAAGGAGGTGCGGGAGAACCCAGCTCCAGCCTGGCTGTACGAGAGAGCATGGGGAGACATCCTGGCCTTGAGCAACCTGAAGAACTTCTCTGGCTTTGCCAATGATTTTGCAGCTAACCTTGCAGCGTTCAGGGCCATTTTCGACAGCCCCAAGCCTCACAGGCAAGTGCCCTCTGCTTTGTCAGCTTAGCTGTACTGCACCCAGCAGGTGATGACATCCCTGGGAGAGCACGAGGAGCTGGCACAGCCGCAGTGCTGCCTCTGCTCACAGTCAGTGCTGTGCCACACAGGGCATCACCTTGTCTCCTCAAGGGTGGCCCTCGTACGTGTTGCTGGGCCAAGGGAGAGCCACACGACACCTTAGCCCAGCAGTACTTGGCGCTTCCCCAGTGGAAGCAGCTCTGGTTTGCGTGCTCATGGTTTCAAAGCTACGGACAACAGCCTCAGCCAAGTGACTGGAAGGTCCTTGTCCCTTCTGAAACCCCAGTGGCTGCCTGCAGGCAGCTTAGATGCTTCTCGGGGAGCTGCAGGGTCTGGCACATCCCCCCAGAATGCACCTCATTGCTTTTCAGAGAGCCCCTGCCTGGGAAGTGGGAGGCTGAGCTTGATGCGTTCCAGAAGCTGCTGGTTCTGCGGTGTCTGCGGGGAGATAAGATCACAAACGCCATGCAGGACTTTGTGGCACTGAAACTGGATCGGCGCTTCATTGAGCCACAGGTAACCTGCCAAAAGGAAGCTCTGGTGGGGCCAGGAGTGGATCAGGAGGCCTCAAGCTTGCTGTAACTGGGCTGTCGGCATTTTGCAACTACAGTGAGAGTGCTCATGCCTCTCTCCAGCTGCAGAGAAGGGCTGCACCAGCAGTGTCCCTGCAGCTGGGGAAATGCTTATGTCTTAGATGAGGAACCTGTTGTCCACCAGTTAAACCTCACTGGGAGGGAGCAGATAGTGCAGGTATGCTAGGGAAGATCTTGACTCACAAATGGGGAAGTGTTCAGTGCCCTGATCTTAATGCTGCCGGAGGAGAGCTGTGCTAGACCCTTATTGGTCATGTTTCTGGCCTCAGCAGCCAAAAGCACGCCGGTGCCTTGGAGAGAGGAGCTGGAGGCCAGGCAGGGTGAGGAGGTACTGCGCGTGGTGCTGCCGTGGCCCCTCCGCTCTGACCAGCTTTCTGTGTTGCAGACTACTGACCTCTCCATCGTCTTCAGGGAGTCCACTGCCACTACCCCCCTGGTGTTCATGCTGTCCCCGGGCACAGACCCCGCTGCTGACCTCTACAAGTTTGCTGAAGAAATGAAGTTCTCCGAAAAGCTTTCTGCCATTTCTCTGGGCCAAGGCCAGGTAAGCTGGTGGTGCCCACCTGAGGCAGCACTGTCCTGTTGGCATTCCCAATGATCTCACCTAGCTCCAAGGATGTTGAAAACCCTTGCAGCACAGTGAGGGACCCTGTCCCAAATCCATCCCTGGTTCTTCCATTCCCTCCACCCTCCCACACTGTGACCTACAGGCTTGCAAGAGCTGCAAAAGGGCCCTTGCTCAGCCATCAAATAGCAAAAATCCAGTTGAGCCACGGGGACAAAGCCCAGTTGAAGCTCTGGAAAGTGGTCCTTCCACCCATCAGCTGTCTCCCTGTCCACCTCAGCAGGGCACAACCCACAATGGATCAGGGTCTCTGAGCTCTTCTCATCTGCCTCCTCAGGGCCCCCACGCTGAAGCCATGATGCACAGTGCCATGGAGCAAGGCAACTGGGTCTTCTTCCAGAACTGCCACCTGGCCCCCAGTTGGATGCCTTCACTGGAGAGACTCATCGAGGGCATTGACCCCAACAAGGTGAATGGCTTTACTTGAGCAGCCTGCCCGCTTGGAGGGTGACAGGCAGGAGGCTGGAGCCCTGGGAGGAGCCCACATCTAGTTCCATCCCATCCACAGGTTCCCCGTGAAACCAGAGGGTGAGTGCAGGAGCAGCTGCAGTGGCTGTGTCTGCACCCTCTGAGCACTCGCTGCCTTCTGGATTTCCAGGTGCATCAGGACTTTCGCCTCTGGCTCACCAGCCTACCAAGCAACCACTTCCCTGTGTCCATCCTCCACAATGCCTCCAAGATGACCATCGAGCCGCCCCGCGGGGTCAAGGCCAACCTGCTCAAGTCCTACCTTAGTTTCAGTGATGACTTCTTGAATTCTTGCCCCAAGGTAAGACCCAGGTCGTGCTTTGGTTTACTGTCCCCAGCCCATGCCTGCTCCAAGGTGTGCTCTCCACCTGGATGTTGCTCCTCTCTGGGTATAGATCTTCCTCTCCACTAGAGCTCTCGCATGCTAGAGGCGGGCTGGTGGTATTTCTCATAAGCCTACATCTAATCTGTGGTGAGACAATTAGAAGTTTCACTTTGAGAAACAGAAGCAACAGGATTGCGGAGGCCTGGCATAAAGAGCAGGCCACAGCCTTCCCCAGCACAGCAGCCTGACAGAGGTTTCCACCTCTCTCCAGTTGGCACTGCTGAATTGGCACATCTCCTCTGCCAGGCCCCAGCAGGGGGGCTTACGCCCTGCAAGGCTGCCTTCTCCCAGGCTGAGCACCTCTTCTCCCTGCTTCCCTGCCCACAGGTCACAGAGTTTAAATCCTTGTTGCTGTCACTTTGCTTCTTCCATGGGAACATGCTGGAGAGGAGAAAGTTTGGGCCTCTGGGGTTCAACATCCCCTATGAGTTCACAGATGGAGACCTCCGCATCTGCATCAGCCAGCTACAGATGTTCCTGAGCGAATACACAGACATCCCGTACAAGGTAAGCACGTGGGCTGGCCCCTCCTGCGGAAGCAACAGACTCGTGATGCATGTGCAGGTCAGAAAGCTGTGGTGGGATCCCTCGCAGGTTCTGAAGTACACGGCTGGGGACATCAACTACGGCGGCCGTGTGACTGATGACTGGGACAGGCGCTGTATCATGAATATTTTGGAGGATTTCTACAAGCCTGAGGTTCTGATTCCTGAGTTTTCTTACTCTGAATCGGGGATCTACAAGCAGATCAGTACCTCCTCTGACCTTGACGTAAGTACTTGAGTAACAAATTGCAGCTTGTAGATCCAGGGGGATTGTCATAGTGCAAAGGGGATCTACTCCTCCCTGAAACCCACTACATTTCCAGTTCCCTGGGAGAGTATAAACCTATAAGAACCTGGGGATCTTCAGCTGCTTTCAGGAAGCTCCATCTATTTCAAGCAACAGGAAAGAAATCTTGTCCCTGTGCACAGGAGGTGGTAGCAGCTACCACCGGAGCTCCCCAGCTGAAAGTCTTGGTACTCTGAATCATTTTGATATCACATACCTAAAGTACCCGAGGAGCTCTGCAGGAGACACGGCAGGAAGCTCCCTGCCCGGCCACTCATTCTCAGAGTATGTATTTGCTTCCACACAAACGCAACTTAACTCCCCAGCCAGACCACTAACCATGGCCATGGCCATGGCCTCTGCTTGGCCAATAACCTGGCTCAGAGGATTTCTTTCAGGCCAGGTCCATCGCAGCCCGAAGGAGCACCACAGCTCTATGCCTGTGCTCTTGGCCTCACAACATGTGGGTTCCTCCCCAGGGCTACCTGCAGTACATCAAGAGCCTTCCACTCAACGATAGCCCAGAGCTCTTTGGGTTACACGATAATGCCAACATCACCTTCGCGCAGAACGAGACCTTTGCTTTGCTGGGGGCCATTACGCAGCTGCAACCCAAGACCTTCACAGTGGGAGGACGCAGCAGGGAAGAGGTGGGTGCCCCAATCCCATCTGCTCTGGCAGCCAGCACCCGGCGTGGGCAGCGAGGACAAACACCAGCCCTCAGCATGTGCTACCACTGCCAGAGCCACCCCACCGGCCAGGTGCCAGCAACGGCACTGCCATCCAGGCGTTGGCTGTCCCTCTTCTCAGCAGCCGTGGCCGGGAGGATGTTCACCCACATGCTGTCTTCCTTCCAGCTCGTGGAGGAGATCTGCAAGGACATCCTGGCAAAGCTGCCTGCCCCCATGAACCTGCAGGAGGTGATCCACAAATACCCGCTGCTCTACGAAGAGTCCATGAACACAGTGCTGGTGCAGGAGGTGATCAGGTAAAACCCCTGTGGGATCGCGTCCTGGGCCAGCAGCCGGCTGGTCCCTGGGGAAGCAGCAGAGCTGTGCAAGCCCCTGCTCCCACCTACCCTTGAGGAACCTCGTTGCTGACCATGGCAGCAGGGTTGGCAGCCACGGTGACAACTGTGTTGTCCCAGCCAGAGCCTCCAGCTGACCCCTGTCCTGCAGGGACTGATCAGTGTCTCTGTCTGCTACTGTCAGCAATGCAGGGCGGAGGGGGGCAGCTATGAGACCCCGTTAAAGAGGAATGGGGCTGGGGGTTACATGGAGGAGCTTCACTAGTTGGTGCAGGGATCCAGACCCTCTCTGGACCAATGCGGGTGATAAAACCACTGCACTGACTCGCTCTGATCCGTCTGCTCTTTCTCTCTAGGTACAACAAGCTCCTGGAAGTGACTGCTCAGACACTGAAGGATTTGCTGAAAGCTCTCAAGGGCCTGGTCGTGATGTCCTCTCAGCTGGAGGTGATGGCCAGCAGCTTGTACAACAACACTGTCCCTGCGCTGTGGAATGCCAAGGTATGTACCCCGGCTAGCCCAGCTGCCCGCAGGAGCTCACCCGCACCAGGGGAATGGGTCGTCAGCCACCACAGCTGGACTGGGCTGGCTCACATGGAGCTGGCTCTTGCTCCCCAGGCATGGAGGTGTCTCCTGCCTAGTTCAGCTTACAGCTGCCTCAGCCCCATGCCGGATGAATCACTGGGCTCTGGGCAGCTATCAGCAACTGGGGCACAAGGTCTAGGGTGTTCTTGCACGCCTTCAGCACCTTCCTCTGTGGGTGCCCCACAGGCCTACCCGTCGCTGAAGCCCTTGGCATCCTGGGTGAACGACTTGGTGCAGCGGATTGAATTCCTGCAGAAGTGGATCAGCCATGGGATCCCCTCCGTGTTCTGGATCAGCGGGTTCTTCTTCCCCCAGGCCTTCCTCACTGGGACACTGCAGAACTTCGCCAGGAAGGCTGTCATCTCCATCGACACCATCTCATTTAGCTTCAAGGTCAGTACGTCAGCCAGAGGCTCTGGATTTTTCTGGATTTTTCTGGATTCTGCTGCTGGAGAGCCACATCATCTCCATCGACACCATCTCATTTAGCTTCAAGGTCAGTACGTCAGCCAGAGGCTCTGGATTTTTCTGGATTTTTCTGGAATCTGCTGCTAGAGGGCCACAAAGGCAGCAGTTCTAGCCCTGACCTGCCCGAGAGGTGAAGCCACTAGCTGCCCAGCTGCTTACAGACCTCATCATCCCCTTTGTGCTTCGATACGCCCACCCACACTGCCAGACCCCTGCCCGAGGCAAGGAGAGACCTCTGTGCCTCCCCAGACCTGCTCACACCCCTCTCCACAGGCCTTGCCACAGGCTGCCCCACAGCCTCAGGACGAGAGATGCCAGGAAACCCCAGCAGCCCATCTGGAGCCAGGGCGGGCTCCCCTTTGGCAGCGCTGGCTGAGCTAGGAGCAGCTGCAGGGAGCCCTGGGGCTGAGCCTCCAGGGACACGCCTGGATCAGGGCCCTGGGCCTGCTCTCCTCCGCAGGTGATGAAGGAGTCGGTGAGCGAGCTCACGCGCCATCCCGACGAAGGCTGCTACATCCACGGCTTGTTTCTCGAAGGCGCCCGCTGGGACCCCGCTGCCTTTCAGCTGGCGGAGTCGCGCCCCAAGGAGCTTTACACGGAGAT